GCTGTCCCAGGCGGCAGTGGCCACTGGCGAAGCCAGGGCTATTGTTGAATGCGCCCAGCCAGACCTGAGAGTCTGCGTGTTGTGAGAGAGGTGAGGATGACAACTGCTTTTAAATGACTGTGAAGCGAGTTCAAGTGGCTTGTTATTGGCGTGTTGCAATTGCCCGAGGGGATGCCGCTTGTAGAGGTCCCCTGCTGCGTGGCCGCGGCTCGGCGTACTCAAGTGGCACTTGAAAACCCGCGACTAGCCGGGCAAGCGTGTACGTGTGTGCGAGTGGCTTCAGTTAACACTTGACTGCGACTCCCAAAAATTTTAAGGTTAGCGAGGGGGAACAGTCATCTGTGACGATGCATGACGTTGGGGCAGCGAGAAGTGGAGAACGAAGGGGGGACAGGCATTGTAGCTGTCAGCCACAAGTCCCCGTTCATGGACCAGACTTCAATCAATTCTCGGCTCGTCTTGTTTCTGGTGTGGGCGATTATGTTGACGGCTATGAAGTGGGACTCATGGCTCTTTTAGTAGATGTGGACAGCAACTTGCGATAATTCATCGTTCCCAGTCACACAGCCAGCACAGCTATCTTAGAAAATGAGGTCCTGTACGGGTTCGAAAACTCAGATTAATAAAAATACCGTTCCGTGACCAGTCTGCTCCTTTACGCATTCACATTTATCACTGCATACGATTTTGTACAAGCATGTTTTCAATGAATAGCTCAGTTTTAATTTTGAATTAAGCATGCGCTCATTAAATCCTCATTTTTTGACCTAGGTCGTTCGTCAGCACATGTCATACGACCGCAGTTTGGCTGGAAATAACATCTCCAATGCGGTCAATGCCAACAGTCTAAAAAGAAATCCTTGCTATCGTCCAGCAGCTACCTCCAGTCATGCTGATGACACTTCAACTTGGCCGACTCCCATCTCCTCGCCAGTGTCCTCCATCACACCCCTCAAAAGCTCTTGCGACAGTGGACGTTCGCTCGATTTCAATAACGCGGCTGCCAGGAAAGGTATGCTACTCCTTACATCATCCTCGGAAGAGGATGCTACCTCTCCCTATTTCTGTATCACTCATGCAATATGGAGACTGATAGCAAGCCCACATTTTTTGTAATTAAAGTGGCGTAGAAGCTTCTACAAGGGGCCCATCTGTAGTTGTCTTAT